GGGGAACTACTTCGAGGGTGATGGATGAATTTAATACCTGAGATAAGTGTACGGGTTTTTATAGGCGCAGTCTTGAAACTTTCCGATCGCACCTCGTACATGACTACCAGGCACAGTTATCAAGACAAGTAGGATTTTAAATTTTCCCGACGGCGATTACCAAGATGTCTGTCCTCTCGGTTGTAGCACCGTGTACTCTAGTACAAGATTACTTGTACCTTTGTACTTGCATAAAAATGGTGTGACCGTATTCGTCTATGTTTATCAGCACTGGATCAAGCCATCAAAACAATTGTTTCATATCTCGAGGTGTAATTTAGTGGATCAGTCTCATAAAACCTTAGCTGCACCGGTGACAGTTTTCTTATCACGTAGGAGGGTATGAGGATGTAGTCATGACGACTTGGCCGTGCATATGCCTTTATTTGCACAATTCCAAGAAACAGAGTTATGCCGATATACCCATTAAATCTAGAATAAAATTATAGTATTTTAGAAGCCTCGTGTATGACAGTATAATTATTATTATTAGTGTAAAGAAAATGCGACTACCCAATTTCTTCATTCACGGTGTGTTGAAGTAAAAGTGAATTCGTGTCAAGTGGGAACTGGCAAAATCCTGTCCTGTTATCCTGCTGTAGGTGAAGTGCCCGAAAGCGTTTTTTACACAAAGACCTTTTTTCTTACAGTGAAACAACAGGTAATTATAAAATCAGTAAAAAAATACATTATTAGTATGTTGATGCAGTTTAGGTGTTTGGTATCATCACGACATTGTTTTTAGTTGTAAAAGGCAACTTTCAGACTCCTCTGACTCATTTGTCGGCTCAAAGTAAAACACGTTTCCTCTTGTAACTTCCTGTGCCATATTTGTTTTTATATCCATCGTGTTTTAAGGATATTGTCCGTTTTGTGCTGAATCAAAATGGAATTGCACACATTGCTTCTGAATCACCCAGTGATCACTAGGCTTGCAGTGTTGTAGTTTGTTCGTCGAGTCACAGAGAAGTTATTTCTGATTCACAATCGTCCGTGTTGTGTGTGATAGAAACATTGCGATGCGGTAATCGATCGCGTTTCCAGGAAGCAGTCACTTCGCCGAACGTAGTTTCAGTTTCATAACGACTTTTGTGTCACACCTGCCTCATTTCCGAATGAAACGAGACTCCAGCAAGGTCATCTGCACTTCAAACCACGACAGGTAAGCTGTTCATATGTCGACTTGTCGATATTATTAAACTATCGAGGATTTAAGATAAGAGTCGATGTAAATAACAGATTTCGAGAGGAAAATTTTTACGCATGGGGGGGAGGGGGAGACTGACACGTTGCATAATAATGAGCGTCATAAATTATGCTCAGCAAAATATCATTATGGTGATCAAATCTAAGAGGATAAAAAGATCGCAATATGTAGCAGACACGGACGTTAGATTTTGAAATTTCTATGGAAACTTTAATAGGAAGAACCCATTGGCAATAAGAGGATAATGCTAAAATTGATCTTAAAGAAACCGGGTGTGTTTCAAGAAACTTAGGATAAGCTCCAGTGGCTGAATCTTGTGAAAAAGGTCATGAACTCCTGTTCCATAGCGACTGTCGGCTTCTAACGAACGATTCTGTCCCCATGGAATTTATGGACCATACCAGTGTAGTGATGACACACTGGACTTATGCTAAGACGTACTTAACCGGAAAGTCTGTCGTATTACTGATTTTGATGGGTTTTCTCAGTCTATCAAGATAGATGCTGGGATAGAATATTCATATAGACTACAACCGCCCCATACAATTCAATGAACCCTGTGTAACGTAAGCGGCTTGAATGTCGCCATCGATTAACTAAAAAGGAGATGCTTCCTACCAAGTAATTTTCTATATTATATAACAGCCAGTTATGATTTATTGAAGAATGACGTCTTTGTGTTAAGATCAGTTATTTATCTACCCTTAATCTCCTCCAATTCTTGAAGTCGTTACTTCTCGAAAATCAAGTGACCAAAAAACTGAGCGCATACAACAGATTCCGCTCAGGAAGTAGATGACAGATAGCTTCTCAAATGGGCGAAGCATGTAGCATGCAGAAGAGAAGCGAGATATTAATGGGTTTAATCAGAAAACATGAAAGGAGGAAATCACTTGGCTAAGCCTACCTAGGCGTAGATCCTGAACGATGTTTTAATGTATCTTATTGATACACGTATGAGAATACTGACTGGGTTAATCTAACGATGAAGTCACACTCTGTGATTTTGTGAACGCTTGAATTAGTCTTCGGGTTCCATGACAGAGAGATATTTCCTTGACCAGCTGAATGATTACAATTTTCTAAAGGTCTCTGCTCTGTGGTGTTAATTACGGCAACAAAAGTACACGCTTTTGGAGATTCTACCCTTCATATAGCAATCTGGATTGACCTTCGCGAGGAACGAATATTCCTACGAGAAAGAACTCTTAGCTCCTACGTAGTAACCTAAAGGGAACATGCTTGTTTCCATGTGTTGAGTCAATTTTCTACATGGCGCGGAGCGTTTCATAAAAACAAGTCTATAGCTGTCTTTGATCAGAAATATAATACCTTTGTGGAAACAGAAACTTTACTGTCATTTTCACAAAATACTGCAGTTTGACCTTATTCTGAAGGAGTAGAATTTATACCACACCCTCTCATCTATCTTAATATTAACCCATATCTGCATATAACTCTTCCAAGTAGAGGAGGTTATTTTTAATTTTAAAATTAATTGTTGTATGCACCTTTTATTCCTTGAGGCATGCAACATTAATTTTATTTGTCATGATCATCTTAAGAATATTATGTGATGACAACTAATTGAAAGTCAGTCTTTATTAGGTTAATGGGATTTCATATTTGACTTGGTCCCCTCTTGAATTCAGAGTGAACATTAATCCCCACTTCACATCTGTGTCTACACGTGTATGGAGGATCAATTTAGCCCCTAAATTATCGGGAGAATTGAATGCAAACGGCCTTACTACAGACCGGCAAGATACAGACAGGGTAGGGGGGGGGGCGTGGGTAAGTGGTCCAACTCATTCCAATTAAAATTCGCTTTGTGCATAAATGTATGTGATTCGCATGCGGCCACACAGGTGGCCGGGCTACTAGGCTGCTCTCTCGTCAAAGTAAAACGAACTAATGGGAAATCACCCCTGACTGGACGTACCGCAATTTGAAAAATGCACACTCGAAATCCATGTCTCTGCAGAATGTTTGTATCTGTTTTTATCCGTGGTTAGCACGCAGACAGGAATGGACTAACCCAGCAAGGGACGATGTCTGGCGCTTGCGCAAGAATCCGCCATTTGTTAGTGTTTTAGTTGGTTAATACATATTCAACCTGAAGATGGCAACAGCAATATTTGCCTAAATGTTCGAGAAACTACAATATTAGTCGCTGCTCATTCCCGAAAACAAAAGTTATTTTCTTCCGAATGTTTTTAATTTTTTGATATAAATATATCGTGAGTTATTTTTTCTTGACAGTTCCTCAGACGCAAATGACACATAAAACTGGGTTCAGTGGTTTAATCTAAATAGTTCTTAGTCTATTTTAAGGCTTTTCTCAAGATCTTTCTGAAGAGACTGAGGAAAAATACAAGAAATTTAAAATTTCCAGGCAGAGAATCGAAGCCGGAAGCCTGGATACGCACAGGACTTTCAAATCCAGGGCGACCCATACTTGCGTGGTGAAGAGACCCTGTTCCTTTGGTTTCTTTCACAACTTCCACTAACAAAAGCCTTCATTTTACAAGGTAAGTTGCTAAACTTTTTAACTGGCTACTTAAGACTGATTGTCATTTTAAGCCCCATTTCAAATAGACATATTCCAGTTTGCCTTTTGACCATAGCAAAATGTCATGATGTGCAAGTGATACTTCGAATTCTTGAAACTCGAAACCCGATAGAAAATTGGAGTCTTGAGAAGACCGAGCAACAAATAATTTTCACAATAAACTTCCAAGATCCCCCTCCAATTCAATATAATCTTAAACTGAACAACGCAAACATGTTGAATTCCAAAGGGTGGCTTTGAGACGAGTTTCATAATGACTGAGTTAATGCGTTCTCTGCAGTACATACAAGTATAGTCCACGATTGTAATCTTGAGACTTGCAAGGAATGCAGGAAGTCCGCAGCGTTAAAGGCAGACACTATCTTTCCGCCTTCCTCCTTCACCTCACTTCCTCACCCCGCAAGTCTCAAGATTACAGTCGTCGACTGTAACTCATCATGAGGACGTCGTGTTTTTACGTCCGTTTACCTGTCATTTCACAGGTTTTATCTTCGAAAATGTTTGTATTTTATTAATGGACGGTGTGCATTATAGGAGCATTGAAAGAATTTTATTTGGGTCCGTATTAGTCCAGCGGAACTCAAATAGACATGAATAAATTAGATCTTGATACTTTTTATAAAATATGCTACAACTCATTAAGGTCTGTAATTTACGTTTTAAATATTTTATGTGTTTTTTAACTGAAACCAAATCAAGGAAAACACAGTGAAAGATCTTTTCTGAAAGTTTTCTAGTTTGTCCTGACGTGTTTACCACTAATGATCGCTCTCCCATGTCATTTAACATAGGCAGAGAAACGGTGTCACTAATAACCTGGATTTTCGGTTATCCTTTGTGGTGTAGTCATCAGCAGCGGGAAACTTGCGTTGCGAGACAGTAATTCTGTGAATCATTAATCCCCTGTGAATTTCTCTGGTATTGGTCCCAGAGCTCCGCGTTGAAGAGCCATCTTCCAACCGTGCATGGTCAAGACCAAAGATTACTTATGGTAAAATGTTATAGATTTTCTGCCTTGGTGTATACACTCCGGGAGATCCAACACAGTGATTTAAATACGATTCAGCTGAGAGGGTTTAATCTCGATTAATCGATCCGTGGTGTTTGTTCTCGGCTCGGTCACTGAACTCAACTCCGAGGAACAAGTGTCTGACCGCCTCTTGAAGCCACGGACAGCGCTGATCGCTGTGGATAAGGTGCTACAATTCCTTTTGTATTCTGTAGAAAGTTGGATACTTTTTAATTTAATCAATACCCAGCTATAAGCTGAGTACAAGCACGTCCCTGCGTTGTGGATAGAAGAAAATGCCTCCAGATAATGGTAGGTACCTGTGGACATATTGAATAACTGTTATGGATGGCGGACAAGGGTCGGCACTTCAATTTGCTGGTTGATCGGAGCGCTAAGAAATACACCGTGAGAATCTTAAGCAGGGTCTCGGATTTTTACGAATTCTTTGGCTCTTATAACCACCATAATGAACCTTCAGGTTCAATAAGTCGGGAATCTCTTGGCTAGATTCTGCAATGGAATTGGTAGGTTAGTTGTGAAACAATTAAAAATGACAATGTGTTTACCTCTGCAGTGCAGTTTGATCAGTGGACTTTATGTACCAACAGTAAATAGATTATAGTTTGTCTATCTAAGCAGTTTCTTACAGGGTCTAAGGAAGGGCATGTTGTTGTTCCTGTGTCCCGTTTTAAGAACTGCGGAACCTAATTAACTCTTTACAAACGTTTCCAGTCGTCTAATAAAGTGGTCGGATTTTGGATCTAATGGAGGCACAAGGGCATCCCCCGCCTACTCTCCAGTTCTCGGGCTGTGCGCGTAATAATGCTAAGGATCTATGCGGAGAACGTCTTTTGCAAGCTAACGTAAGTCGCGAAAACTTTTTTCAGACTTCAGCGGGGTGGTTGGCGGTAGAATTAAAACTTCAGTAATCAGCAATCTCGGTAACCTCAAACTCGTTTTTTATAATTTTCTTCGCAAGAATACTCCAGTTCCCGATTCATCATATTTCGAACGCAATGTTTCGTATGTTCTTCTTTTACACTTCGTCCTCATCTTTTTTTCGATAATCTTTTTGAGTGACTTTTTTATTTTTTATTAAAACGGAAGCCGAACAAAAAAGATGTGCTATAAGCGATATATAATAAAGTTGGAGAACGGAGAATGGGGAAGTTTCTAAAGTCTGCTTATGACAAACGAGAATCTCAAAAGCCGCTTCCGTGCCTTCACTTGTTCGTGTCATTTCTCTTCATCGCCGCTGGAGGCGCTGATGTATCTTCTTGACGGCCGAGAAGGAAGCGGGAGAAAATTGTCCTTCAGAGAAGCGTATCAACATCTATGACGGCATTAAACGAAATAACCAGTACAATGCATTTCACTGAAAATAAATACATACAGACATAAATAAATATATATACATTTTACGTGGCGTAAAGTTCCACAATTTACTGAAACGCTGCATCCACTACGAATTCGTATTTATTTGTTAAAAAGTGTCACATCTATTCCACTGATCTTAATAACATTGTAAGCTAAGATGACTGTCTTCTTGGGTTGTTGCGCTGTGACGTCTGGTAGAAGTTTGCTGCCTCCATAATCAGGGGCATTGTCCCTCAAGTACCTCTGAATCGTCCGTAAACTTCTACCTATAAACTAAACAACGCAACAACCCACAAACATGCCATCTTAATATTCGCCGTCGTGAGAACCTGAAATCTCGCAGGTTTGAGGTGGTTCGACATATTTGTGCAAAGACCTCTAGTAGTTAATATGATCAAAATTAGTCCATGGATGACACTGCAAAAAGTCTTTTATATTTATCTCGAAAACCGTGAGACTTACTGGTACCGACAAAGCGTGTCCGAACGTTTTATCCGAACTTCTTTTTCGAGTAACAGTTATTTCGTCAATTTGAACCAAAATTTGAACGTCGGTCCATTGACAAATTTTAGTGAAATTTAATAAAAATCCGTTCAGCGATTCTCGAGTCGTTACATGCGGACGGACAGACACTCATTGGAAAGTTAATAGGCGCAGTTTTGTAAATTTTCATTGCGGTTGCCCCTAATAAGCGCTTCTTAATCTCGCTCATACACCGATAATTTATAATTCATTAAACTTAAATTAAAGAATGGGTACAATTACAATAATTCAAGAATTTGAACATGCAAATTAGAAAAGCCACAACAAAATCTCTGTCGGCAGAAGAGTGCACTGAGAAGATACTGGACTCTGGAATCCGAAAACCACACTTTATCCCCGGAGTAAGTGATTTGCTTTGTTGCTTACACGTCAGGAAATTTCGACCTTCTTATTCACGTGCCACGTTCTTGACCGAAGGGCAGGGTGACAGTTTAAGAGGGAGAGAGGAAGAAGAATTAATGAGGAAAGCGATACGTCAGTCTGCTTGCCAAGCTGAATAGCCCCGAGACGCCAGACACAAGTCAGGACACTGGGATAGTCATTTCATCAGTGTTATGCGGTCACGCGTTCCTCCCTCTTCACTTAGCTATTTCTTCAACTTTTTTTCTTATATTATACATTTATTTATATCGTTATTTTGTTCTTTATTTTTTAATCTCTTTCGTCCTTATTTTTCTTCCTGCGTTTGCCTTATTTATTTGTCGAACGTCGAAGGTGAGTTATTAATACATCTGCTCCGTATTTGGAGGTCCGAAGTTCAAATATCGGTCCGGAGAAGGTACCTGACTGAGGTATTTTGTGATTTTCCATAGTTCTTTCTTGCAGATGAGGAGAAAGTACCTTGAAAATTAGGCAATGACCTCTTCCTTCCATATCCTTCCTTGCCTATTCATTATTCATAATCATCAAAGCTTTCAACGCTTTGTAACCTGAACTACCTACAGTATCGTTAAATAAACCATGAATAAATAAATAGAACGTCTTGTTTATTTTCTTCTTTTTTCTAGATTTTTTATTTATTTATTTATTTATTTATTCATATCGCTCCAGTAGACTTTCTCTCAACCAGCTTTCAGTTTTCCAAAATGCTGTAGTCTGTGCCCCGTGCTACCATATTCATCCGTCAATTTGCGGATTACTTTCACACGTATGGCCTGTGCTACCCTCTTTTTAATTTAAAATTCTTCCCCAATTGTGACACAGTTGAGAACAGGGTTAGTCGCCAGCTTCTCATACTAAAGACCTGGCATCAATCCGTGGGCAGCCCTTGCGAGATTTATAGACAATAAAGAGACACTGGGGAAAATTATGTCAGTTCCCTTGACTGTCACCGTCCTCTAGCGTTTCTTGCTGATCTGAAGCTGCACTTGACTTGCCGTAGTCCAGACCAGCCTATACGTCATGTTAGGCTTCGCCTCAGATATCCGGCATTGAACTGAAACTTTATTAAGACAAACAATAGTGCTCCGTGGATGGGTCATTAGATCGCGGTTACACCACAATTTACAAAACGTAAGCATAGAGTGACCGTTTCGGTACGTTCGCCAGGACTTAACTTTTATCAGATAAATTATCGAAATGCTTAATTGTAAAGTCATCTATGATTATGTCATCACAGAAATTACGTCATCGCTGAGAATACTCCGTTCTCCTACAACCTTACTCTGGTTTAGCATCTGTCACGTTGGTAGAAAATTAAGAAGTACGAATTTGGAGTAAACCCCTACGCTATGAAGTCCATACCAAATTTCATGAGATTCCATTCGAGTTTTTGAATGCATACCGAGGGACGGATAATGTGGGCGCTCCGTAGGGGTCTATAAACTGAAAGAAACTGTTTGCCGAGCCCGATTCGAACTCGAGACCCGGAATTTGGCAACGTGGTTGCAGGAATCTGTAGATTGATATCCAGAGGAAGTAGAGGTGACGAGAAAGCCGTGACATTGCACATCTGCCTCAGCTGTTAACAAACAGCACGAAAGAGTCTCGTGAAATATAGCGAATCCGTTCTTTCATTTGTTCCTCTC